ATGTGTATGTATATGTATACACATTACAAGGAATCCATATATATATATATATATATATATATATATATGTGGACTCCTTGTAATATGCTTTTTTTGTTCATGCGAAAAAAGCGTGGTTTGAAAATACTGGCAGCTTTTCAAAGACCCTTACCTCCTTTTCTTTGTTGATAGGATTATTGTCTGTTGCAGATAATTTATCAGTTTGCAGAGTGAGCACTTCTCATTTCTGTCATCAGATGTGGATGTGGTGACGATGCGATCGCGCACTATGTTCTATGCATCTCTTATGCGCCTGTTATCGTTGGATTTGAACGACAATGATACTGTATTCTACGCATTCTTGCAACCCTTGACAGGTTGATTTGATGTTTTTGTCAAAAAATAATTGCTAGGGGCTAGCTTTTGGTTGCATGTGTGGGGCGCATGACCTTTACATTAATATTTCATCAGTGCTGCCGATCACGGTATAGGCTGAGATTTTTATTGACTTTTTCTGAGAAAGCTTGCTTCTTGGTCTTTTACCTTCATAGTTCGATTAAAAGTAGATGACTGTGAAGTATTTAAATCGTGGTAGGCTTCTGGTTTATTTTGCGTTTTTGTGCATTATGCACATTCAAAAATGCAAATTGGTAAGAGACTGTCTAGCTGTTTATTTGCACTTTTTTTCACCTTCTTTCAAGTCGAGAACTGGAAAGCTAGAAAGCCAAATTTCGGGAGTATGTGCCTACCCCATGTGCGACTCCACTGTTCTATTATTATCATTCGCATACGGACGCCTCAAAAGAATATGCGGATTTTTGGCGGGAATGTGATCTCAGGAATCAGATAAGATAGAGAGTTGAAACTTTGCAGGGATATACTCTGTGCGTGTGTGATAAGGATTTCTAATTCAACTATCTCGCACGCTTGTAATGCGCGTAGTTCACAGTTGGCGCCGTGCCGACTCGAAAACAAATTATCAAAATATTTATCGTTTCTCTGAGGAATCGTTTACATAAGTAGAACTGTCCTTGTGACGCGTCAAAGATATTCTTGGCGAAGAAATGATTTTGCTTACCAAACAAGCTGCGAAACTGAAACTTTGCAGAAATATTCTGTGCTCATGTGTGACCTTAATTCAACTTGGGGGTGGAAGTCCTTGTGGGCGGACATGACAAATACTCAATTTTGTCGCAAACTCAAAAGCGATTGCATTTTGTGGACTTCGTACTCCTGCTTTTCCAGCATCCTATGCATTGTGAAATTTGCTTTTTTCGATGAACCGCCACTCACCGGAAAAACGGCTGAGCTTCATGCAAGATTGAAAATCATGAACGCTGGAGTTCATGCAGCCCCACGATTTAATAGTACCTTCCCAGCCGTTGCCGTTTCACCCCTCCACCCCCTCCTTTGCAGAAGGTCAGAAAATAACCAACATGAACCGGCGTGTTAAAGCACAATGCAGCAAACATGCCTGCTGTTAACGATCTGAATGCTGCAAGTTCAGTGTAAAAACGCATGACCACACCGGCAATTCTGATGCATTGCAGCCTGAGTTAATATCTATGAGGAAATGAAATTATTCACGTTTTGGATGACAGTTTGTAATATCTTTGCTATTTAGGAGCAGAAAATAAGTACTGAAATGGACCGAACTCTCTTGCATTACTGTATTAAAACCGGAAATAATTTTGTTGGTCATAGCTGAGTAAAGGTAGATGCGTAGGGTAGAAGGGGGAGGGCGGGTGGAGGGGGGGGGGGGGGAAAGGGGGG